TCAAGAATGTCATTGAAAACTTCATCAGGAGTTGTTTGTGGTGGTGTAACCATCATTGCAATTGGGATTGCATCTATGGCACCATCTTTTGCTTGAACTGGTTCATTTGCTGCTGATGAGCTCATTCCTGGTATTGGTTGTGAAACTGGAGTATTCAGATCATCAATGTAAGCAGCCAAGCATGCATTTATCTCCAGTAGCCTCTCCTGGCCGTTCGATTACAAGTTTGACCAATCAATTAATGGTTTATTCACCAACTGTTGGCTTGTTGTTCCTTCTGGAGGGGTTGATGTTTTTGCTTTCTTCTCTGGTCCATGCACATTCTTCACCACTATCCTTCTTTTGCGCGGTTCTTCTGGTTGTTGTGATGCTGTTGCTGTGGTGATGTTGATATTTGTTGCTGGTGATGGGGGATTGAATGGGCTGATGTCAAAAGATGGTATGTCACTGTCTTTTGCATCTTTGCGGTTTCCTGCAGTCTTCGGTGGTGGTTGTATAGCTTCATCATCATTGTTCTTCGCATTTTCTCCCTCCTTTGAAACAACCACATCTGACTGTGTCTTTTCATTGTCATCTCTTTCCTGATCTTGATGCGTTTCATTTCCCTTTCCTTCATCTCCTTTTTTGTTAGCCTCCTGGTTTACATTATCTGGAACTGAATTTCCTTGGTTCTTCTCAGCAGTTTTAGCAGGATTCTCTGTTGTTGGTTCTTCTGTTTGATGTTGAGCTTCTGGTTTTGTTGAAGAACCATGTTGATTCTTCTTTTTCTTCCATTGTGTTGGTCCAACTAGATCCACTGTTGTTTGTTGAGAATCATCATTTTCTTCAGATTCATTGACTGTGGTTGCTTTCCTTTTGTCTGATTTTGCCTGGTCAAAAATTTTCTTCAGAGTTTCTTCCAGGTTCGTGTCTGCTTCTTTATCTTCATCACCAGATTTAGTTCCTTCATTTTGTTCGACAATCACATCATCAGATCTTTCTCCTTCCACACCATCAAAATTTTCATCAGAAGTTTGTTGCTCCAACATTTGCTTGTGTTTGACAAGCTCATCAATTTGAGCTTTGTATTGCATCTTGATTGATTGCAACATAGTTTTCATCGATGTTTTCACCAGATTTAGTGCTCTCTCAGCCTGCATTAGTGATTTTTGATCTGTAAGTTAATATTTACAGTAGAATACCACATATTACCATGGTGGTAATGGATGGTATGTGCATTATACAGTACAATACCATATGCTACCACCATGGTTCATGTGTGGTATTAGTTATATGAATTGCACAATTTGTAACATATGGTAATTTATACTTACTTGGGGAATAGTCTTGATCATCTTCAAATCAAATATGAGTGATTCTGATGGTTGTTGGTTTGTGTTGTTGTCATCATCATCACTGTTGGTGCCACCGGTCTTCTCTTCTTTATCCTGTATCTTCATTAGCTCATGAAGTGCTTCTCCAATGTAGTAGCTGACTATGTTTTCATAGTTTCTTTGCACATCAATGTCATCATAATAGTTTGTTGTTGGGATTTGAAACTAGGTGGAGAAGGCAATTTCATCCAACTTGTACATGAAGCATACCTTTTATTTGTTTGTGGGAAGGAGAAACAGTTGTATTAGTATTGATGTACTAGGATTTGTAATGCGTTAGGGTATACTAACTGAATGAAATTATTGAGGGTATAGATACTTACTGTTAAAAAATGAAGATTTGCATTGACGTACAAGTTTTTTGATTTCAACCCCTCATTCATATAGTCGAAGAAGAACTTGCACCAATTGTATTCTTTGAAATGCTTGATTTTGCCTGGCTTCAAGTACTCCAGCACATTCAACTCATCAGTAGGGTTTGAAAATAGGGACAATAGAGCTCCCGTAACCAGCAACCAGAACAGTTTGATCCATAATTCAATGGTATGAGCATTAGAAACGTCATGCTCTACGTTAGCTAATTTCACCCTTCCATTTGAAGCTGGAGGTTCTAGTTCTAGTAGGACTAGCAACGCATAGTCTACTGCTTCTTCCAGTGATAATTTCTTGAGCGTCACTTCCCTTTTACCCATTGGTAGACCATAAACTCTATGAAAGTCAATTGGCGATATCTTCATGTAGTTCCCATCAGGCAGTTTGAATGATTGCTTTGTTGGATTGTACTTGCTCATTGTGAATAGTGCAAAGTTCTTGTTTATCTTTGTTTGCTGCATGGATGTTAAGCCATCAAGGCCTAATTCCTGCAATTATTTCCTCTGTTCAGGTGTTAATGTCCTTGACAGTGTGTTGATTCTTGTTGGGCTACACCTTGTGCGAAAATCGTCCCTTTGTCTTGACATGATGTACCTGCATCCAGAATAGAAGAATTGCTATAACATACCATACCATACCATACCATACTATACCATACCATACCATACCATACCATACCATACCATACCATACCATACCATACCATACCATACCATACCATACCATACCATACCATACCATACCATACCATACCATACCATACCATACCATACCATAATACTATATAGTTACCATACCATACTATACCATATTCTACCAGTAAGCAATATAGCGTACAACACATCAAAGGTTGTTGAACAGGTTTTCAAGTGATCTTCCCTCACCATACCATATGGTATTATGGTAAATGGAAGCATAGCAACAGTTTTTTTTGGAAAAACTATAATACTATATAGTTACCATACCATAGTATACCATATTCTACCCTAAGCAATATAGCGTACAACACATCAAAGGTTGTTGAACAGGTTTTCAAGTGATCTTACCTCACCATACCATATGGTATTATGGTAAATGGAAGCATATCAACCGTTTTTTTTTTGGAAAAACTATAATACTATATAGTTACCATATGGTACCAGTGTGGTATTGTAAAAAAATCAGTGCATATAAAAGGTTTTTTTTGTCGTTTTTATACTTTTCTAGAAAATGTTTTTAACTGTAAGTACTTTGACCACTACGTGGGTGGTTTCTCCTTAGAATACCATATGGTACCAGTGTGGTATTGTAAGAAAATCAGCGCATAGAATAGGTTTTTTATACTTTTCCTATAAAATATTTTTCACTCTAAGTACTTTGACCACTACTGGAACGGTTTCTCCTTTCCTTAGAATACCATATGGTACCAGTGTGGTATTGTAAAAAAAGCAGAGCATAGAATAGGTTTTGTTGTCGTTTATATACTTTTTCTATAAAATGTATTTCACTGTAAGTACTTTGACCACTACTAGAACTTTTTTCCCTTAGAATACCACATGGTACCAGTGTGGTATTGTGAAAACATTAAGCATAGTAGAGTTTTTCTTTTGGTATTTGTGAAGTATGTACTTGAAATTAGACATTCAGAATCACGAATCTAGTTTTTGAAGAAAGAAGTGATGATTTACCTTGATCGTTGAAGACGTCGAAGTTGGAAACCCTAACTTTGTCGCTGAAGACGTCGAAGTGGAAACCCTCACTTGATCGCTGAAAATTCGAGTATGCAGTTTGCGAAGATGAAATGCGAGAGAGAGAGAGAGAGAGGGAGAGAGAATGGATAGCGTAAATGCAGAGCGAAAAAGTAGAGATAGAACTCGAACCGCCTGTGATTTTTTTGTTTTTGCTGAGTTGGTGATAATGATGGCGGGGAAGGCTCGCTTTACTTTTTAAAATTGCCAGAAGGATTTGTCCAGTTACTATTTTACCCCTACGTGTATTTGTTATTCTACATCTGACGGTTATCAATGGATTGCAATGGACGGCGGATCGGGTGGTTACTGACCGTTACTGACCGGTAGGTTACTTAGGGAACTGCTCCCTGATAGGGGTAGGCAAGTTGTGCGGTATAACCGCATCGCATGTCAATTGGACGGTAATTTAATTGGCAGCCTAGTTATTCTGCTAATTAGAAGATTCGTTAGTATATACTAACTAATATTCAAAATGTATGAACTAATATCCAAGTCTGCTGAGTATCTAGATAGAACAGACTAGTATTCAAAACATCACAAACTAGTATCCAAATAGCAGATACCAACTAATATCCACAAACAACCAACTAGTATTCAATATGGATACTCTTATATGTTATCTGGATACTCTTATGTGTTATCTGGATACTAATTATGTGCTATATGGATATTATTCTGTGTTGTCTAGATATTAGTTTGTGAATTTGGGATAATAGTTGATTCATGGTGGATATCAGTTAGCAAACTTTGAATACTAGTCTGTGCTCTCTAGATACTTTAGTACTTGGATACTAGTTCATGTATTTTGGATATCAGTTAGTATCTGCTAACGAATCTTCAAGTTAGCAGATTAACTTTTCCCTTTAATTGGTGCGGTCTACTCAAATCGTTTAGATATGCGATTTGGTATGGTTTGAATCGCACCGCATATTTGACAATAATGAAATATAAACTATAGATAATTGGATTAATAAATTTGAATGCATTTTCATACTCAGTATGTGCAATTGTAAGATAAACTAATTTAACATCTAATAATAACTAATTGATATCTCTATCTATCTATATCTATATCTATACTATATATTATGGCAATCTCTTGCCACATAAGCACTTGGAGGATCTACAATTTGCCAAGTTGGACAACTTTTTTACAAAAAAAAAATTAGTTATTAATGTATTTATGGATCTACCTCTCTCTTATTTAATATTTCCATTTATTTTATCCAATTATTCTTTTATTTTTTTTTGTTAAGGATGATATAAATTAATGAAGGAAAAAAAAGGAAACAAGAACATCCCAAACAGGTCCGCAGAAAAACTGGCCAAAAGCTGGCCCAAAAAACGGCAGCAGATAGGGTCAGTAACCATTGGTTACTGACCTGTCAGTATTAAATCCGGACCGTAGATCTAGGGATGACATTATTATATTGCTGGGCTGCACGTGGAGTGAGGAGGGGCATTTTTGTCCGATTTTTGAAATTTGATTTCTTTCCTTTTTTTTTATTTTTTCCAGCATTTATATGTGTTGTCTTTTAATGGAGGAAAGAGAAAAAGCAGACTTTTCTCTTACTCTCTCTTTTCTCTTTCTTCCTTTCTCTCTTCCAAAATTCTTTTTCCAGATCTAAATCTCCTTTCTTCTCTTGTTCTTCATTTTTTTCTCCAACAATCGATGAAGAAATTGCAGCCTCCCACTTCAAATTCGGTGACGCTCCAAATCCTTCTACTCTCAAGCTGCTCCTTCCTTCTGTTTTTTTCTTTTCTCGGCCTCAAAATCGATGATGCTCCATATTGTCAAAGAGGGGACAGATCTAGGTGAGTTGAGTTTGCATCTTTTGTGTTTTAGTATTTGTTTGTGAATTAATTCCGATCTTCTTCCTCTTTTTCTTTCTTTTTGCATTCGGTGTTCTTCATTGCGGAGGAGTAAATGAGAGGAGACAGAAGACGAATTTTTTTCCCTCTTCCTCCTTCTGTTTCCCCTTCTTTGAAAATATATATTGATATTACCACACTATACCATATGGTAATGTGTGCTAACTAAGTGTATTTTTATAGTCATGAGTTTTATCATGGTGGTAGTGGGTGGTAATCGACACCAGTTCCGAGAAAGAAGAGTTAGAAGACAATGAAGGGAGAGAAGAAAGTGAAGAAAGTCGTAATTGTATATATATATTGAGATTACCACACTATAACATATGGTAATGTGTCCATACCATATGGTAATGTATGATAACGAAATGTATTTTTATGAATATCATGTTTTTACTATGGTCGTAGAGGGTTGTAATTAAATTTACATGGTTTTACCTTCTCATACCAAGTGGTATTATATGGTAATTATAATTAATTTGTGGTCCTTTGATTTACCATGTTCTACTATGGTGGTATTGTATGCTAGTTAGATTTATAATTTTCTGTAGCGTGGTTTACCAAGTTATACCATGTGGTGGTAGTTTGATTTGTAATTTTATTTTAGCATGTTATACCATATGGTATGGTATGGTAATTAGATTTGTAAATCTTTGTAGCATGTTTTACCACGTTATACCATGTGGTATTGTATGGTAGTTAGATTTTTAATTTTCTTCAACATATTTTACCATGTTTTACCACGTTTTACCATGTGGTATTGTATGGTAGTTAGAATTGTAATTTTCTTCAACATATTTTACCATGTTTTACCATATTTTACCATGATAGTAGAAAGTGATAATCATATTTATACTTGTAATTAGTGTCTTTAACAATGTATTATTTAACGAAAAAATCATCATTCAATTTGAGCTGGAATTAGTTTAGAGATAGTTAGGATGGTTAGATTCTTTTTTTTTTTGAGAGAGAAGAAATAATATATTTTTTTCTTTTAATAATAAAATAAAACAAAGAGTGAGAGAAAGGGGGAACCAGACAACCAGTGTGGGGCGGGGAGTGGGATCCGCGTCGCGTCAGCGTCAGAGACATCATTAAATAGGGGGTGCAATTTTACCTTAGTGCCCCTCCGTGTTTTTTTTAAATAAAAAGAAAAAGCTGACACGTGGGGGCCAGGGGAAGGGGTTACTGATGGTTACTGATGGAATGGTTACTGAGGTGATCCGGTCCCCCAAAAAACACCTCGCACCCCTGTCCAGTATCAAGCCGCTGAGTCGGCAGAGAAACCAAACAACCCCCCCCCCCAAACAGCGGTCATACCTGAACGGAAGAAAAAGAAAACAAGGAGAAAAGAGAAAGAGAAGGGGTGAAAGGAAAAGCAGAGCGACAGACTGCAACTGCACCAGCGAAACAGAACCAACAAACAAACCAAAACCAGGAAAAAATAGGAAAACACTGCTTAATTCTCCTCCAAAGGAAACTGCAAACCCGAAGGCACGAGCTGCTTCGAATTGACAGGGAAACATCTGGCTTTCATCTCTTTGATCCACCCTTCCGCGATCCCTTTATCAACCTTTCTTGCCACCTAGGGGTGGGCATACGGTTCGGTAAAACCGAACCGAACCTAACCGAACCGAATATAAACCGAACCGAAACCGAATTAATGTTATTCGGTTCGGAATTCGGAAGAGAAAAGGGCATATTTCGGAAATCAGGGTCCTTTCGACCGAACCGAATTTCCGAATTCCGAACCGAAAAACCGAATTATTATAATTGCAAGCTCTAATTGGTGGATTTTTATGTTTCTACTTATTATGAGAGTTAAATATTTGAATCATGTTAGTGTTTTATGACTTATGTGTTGAAATGTTTGATTTTATCATTGATGATGCATATTTATTGTTTACATTAGGGGTGAAAAATAATTTAAATAAGAGAAGACACAAGCTAACCTCACTATTTCGGTTTTGTATGAAAAACCGAACCGAACCGAATTATAATTCGGTTTGAACCGACCGAACCGAATTATAATTCGGTTCGAATTCGGTTTGAGGTTTGATAGAATTCGGGGACCCGGTATGCATAATTTCGGTTCGGTTTGAACCGAACCGACCGAATGCCCACCCCTATTGCCACCGTCAACCACCAGAAAATGTTGTGGACGATCTTCATCACAAGCGAAGGGACATGGCACTCCACATCTTTGAACACTCTAGCGTTTCTCTCTAACCAAACACACCAACAGAAAGCATGTAAGCCCACTCTAGAGCACCACTAAGCTGGGTTCGCCGGATTGGCAGTCGGCCAGAGTCTAATCCTTTCTGAAATATCACGGGCCACATCAGCATTTCCCTCTGTTTTAACGAAACATTTTAGTCTGCCCCAAACCTGATTTGAGAACGCGCAGCTGATGAAAATGTGATTTGGGGATTCTTCATCTCTCTTGCATAGGACACATCTATTTGGAATGTAAAATCATTTTTTCTTCAGGTTGTCAATAGTGAGAATTCGTTTGTGGAAGACCAGCCATAGGAAGATGCAAATCATGTTCGGCATGATGCTTTGCCATACCACCTTCGAGGGAAAATCAACAATTCCTCCAAAACGTGCAGCGGCGAGATGATCAAGCGTCGAGTGGACACTATAACCGGCAGTGGGAGACGGGAGCCATCTTGGTCTTTCAGGCCCTGCAAGAAAGTTCTGAAAAGGAATAGAATGAAGTAAGTCAAGTAATCTCACACGCTCTCTTTCAGCCCCACCCCGAAGCGAATAGATCAATGGTATGTTCCATTGATAATTTCCCTCAGAAGAAGAAAGGTATTCAGCGATGGTGGAGTTCGGAGATTCAATAGCAGCCAGGACTCTCAGGAATTCATCGGCCAATCGGATGCCCTAAATCCAGGTATCAAACCAGAACGAAGTCCAGTGACCTTGTCCATGTTCAATACACGCAAGTTTCCAAAAACCAGACTGTAATTTCATAATTTTGTGCCAAAGACTGCCTCCAACACTGCCCGACAAGATACCCGAGAACCACTCCGAATGGATGTTGGGAAACTTGGCGTCAATGATTTCCCTCCACCAAGTTCCCCTTTCTGTCGCGAACCTCCAATGTCATTTATACAGGAGAGCTTGATTATGTAGCTCGAGATCACGAATACCCAATCCTCCCCTATTCTTGGCAGTTTTGCAAAGATCCCGTGACACGAAGTGAAGCCTCTCGTTTTCCTGAGTGCCTGACCAAAGAAAGTCCCTTTGAATCTTCTCCAAAGATTTGATAACATTCTTAGGGATTAAAAATAACGAACTTATATAGCTGCTTTGACTTGCCAGCACCGCGTTTATAAGCACAACTCTCCGTCCTATCAATAAACAATTACCCTTCCAACCTTTCAATCTTGACTGTGTCTTAGTCACAACGTTATTCAAGTGCGCAGCTTGCAGAGATTGGCATCCGAGAGGTAGACCGAGATATGTTGTTGGCAAAAAAGCCCAATCACAGCCAAATATTTCAACTAACCTCTCAATATTTGCTACCTCACCAACATGGAAGATTTTCATTTTCTCGAGGTTTATTTGCAGTCCAGTAATCGCCTGGAAACAGATCAAAGCAGCCAGCATATTGCTTACCTCAGACTCATTTGCTTCACAAAAGAGGATGGCATCATCCGCATAAAGTAAATGGGTAACCTCTCCGATGTGCCTTTCTTCATTAATGCAGAAACCGGTAATGAGCCCCTCATTCTTAATTTTACAGAGAATAAATGAAAGTATGTCCATACCTATATTGAAGAGGAAGGGCGAAAGAGGGTCGCCTTGTTTGACACCTCGGCTCATACCAAAGAAACCAGTAGATTCTCCGTTAACAAGAATGGAGAGTCTGGAAGAGGAAACCAGTCCTTTAATCCATTTCCGGAACCTCGAGTGCAGACACAAGTGAGATAGTGAGTTTAAAATGCTCTCCCAGCTAATGGAGTCAAAGGCCTTCTCAATGTCCAATTTAATCACAACGCCCGATTTTCCACTCCTTCTTCGGCTATCAATTACTTCATTGGCAATCAAGCAAGATTCATGAATCACTCTCCCCCTTTTCCTACAAACTGGTAATCCGAGATTAGGGTGTTCATATGGGGTGAAAGGCGATTGAACAGAACCTTTGCAGTAATCTTGTTTAAACTTCCCAGTAAGCTGATCGGACGGAAATCAGAAACCTGTTCAAATGGATCTTTTTTGTGTAGTAGATAGATGAAAGCATGAGCTATCGACTGGGGAAGAGTGCCAGCAAGGAAAAAAGGTCATCAAAAGCCTTCAATAAATCTGTCTTTATGATATCCCACGCTTTCTTATAGAACTCAATTGAATAACCATCCGACCCCGGAACCTTACTCCCATTACATTGCCTTATTGCTTGCCAAACTTCCAGCTCCATGAAAGGCTTCACAAGAGCTTCATTTTCTTATGGGGAAAGCATACAAGCTCTGTACCTAGTCGGGAAAGGCCTATCATCATCAGATTCCACGAACTTAGCAGAAAAGTGATTATGGAAAGCAATCTTAATCTCATTCCCATCTTCTGAGGCCCTTCCCTCGATCACCAATCTCCTGATTCTGTTTTTTCTTCTTTTCACCTTAGCCACTCTATGAAAGAAGCCGATGTTCTTATCACCCACCTGAAGCCACACTTCTCTAGATCGTTGCCTCCAGGAAATCTCCTCCATGATTAGAACCTTCTCAAGTTCACATTTAAGGATAGCTCTCTCAGATGATAGCAGCGGATTAATTTGATCTGTCTCTTCAACTTCATCAATACTTTTAATTCTGAAAAGAAGATCTGCAATACGCTTCTCTACTTTTCCAAAGTGGTCCTGTTTTCATTGCTTGATCATGAATTTGGTTTGCCTGCATTTTTGCCCAAATATGAACAGATAACTAGTCCCACTGACAGGGATGCACCACCACCCCACCAGGCTCTGCAAAAAGGAGTCTTCTTGAAACCACATATTTTCGAATCTCCAAGGGTGAATGAAACGCTCCATTGAACCCCACCGAAGACAAATCGGATTATGGTCTAACTCCACTCGATCAAGAGCAATCAAAGCCTCTGGGGATAACAAGTCTTCAAAACTCGAATTAATAAGTGCTCTATCAATGCGAGATGATGATTTCACCACACCTCCTCTATTCCAAGTGTACCTGGCCCCTTGCAGCGGGAGGTCCACAAGATTGCATCTGTTAATCAAACTGTTAAATTCATTCATGATCTCCGGATCTCTAGGGAACCCGATGAATTCCTCCTCTGACCTGACAAGATTAAAATCGCCAATAATGCACAACGCAGCCAAATATTCTCTGCACACTAATTCGATTTCCTTAAGAAACTCTATTTTGTCATTCTTATCCTGTGGTCCATAGACAACTAGAAAGGAGATGATATCCTCTGATTCAATCAGCTTTAGACGAACTGCCAATGAGAATCTACCTTCCCAA